ATGTTATTGGAAAACTTTTTTTCCTTCCAAGCTAACCAAAAAGCTAACAGAAACGATGATTCTCTACAGGGAATGTCCGTGTGATCTTGAATGGCCTTCACTGACCCTCCCTCCCCACCACCCACCAGCTCAAGAGGCTGAGGCAGAAGAATCATGAGTTCAAAGCCAGCAAAAGCGAGAATCATAAACCCAGGATCATATCCAAAAATAAAAACAAGGATAGAGAAAACAGAATATATATAAAAAAGGACAAAATAATCAGTGATCCAGGATGTTCATGAAGCAAATCAGACCATAATTTTTTTATTCGTTCAAGGAATATTTATCACCATCTAAAATATGCCAAGCATTACAGTGAGAGTATTCAAACCTCACATCTGCACTCCCAATTTTTCTGTGTTGTCCGGCACAAAAAGTTCTATCACCATTCAACAAATATTCTATGTCCGATTACTTCTCTTAATTATTTTGATCTTATGCCTTACTTGAAAAACACATAATAGAATATTCTCTGGAATGAGCAAGAGATCAAAGCCCTGAGTTCTATTCTCAAATCTGCAAAGTTCCATCAGGAGCAATATGCCACACCTTGCAATATCTGGTTTTCTTGCTAATCTAAATACACGTAATATGTTCAACTGAAATTTTTAAAATACTAGTCATCTGCCTCATTAAAATAATAATAATAATAATATTTGCTATTTGCTAGTCATTCTGCAGTTATTACAAAAAAATCATATTCTACAGGAGGCTGAGGCAGGTGGATCACAAGTTCAAAGCCAACCTTGGCAACTCAGTAAGAACCTATCTCAAAATTTAAAAATTAAAAGGGCTAGAGGGGCTGGGGATGTGGCTCAAGCGGTAGCGCGCTCGCCTGGCATGCGTGCGGCCCGGGTTCAATCCTCAGCACCACATACCAACAAAGATGTTGTGTCCGCCGAGAACTAAAAATAAATAAATAAATATTTTTAAAAAAAAAATTAAAAGGGCTAGAGGGGCTGGGGATGTGGCTCAAGCGGTAGCGCGCTCGCCTGGCATGCGTGCGGCCCGGGTTCAATCCTCAGCACCACATACCAACAAAGATGTTGTGTCCGCCGAGAACTAAAAATAAATAAATAAATATTTTTAAAAAAAAAATTAAAAGGGCTAGAGTTGTAGCTCAATGGTAGAGCTACTGGTTCAAACCTCAGTACCACAAAAAATCATATTCTATAATGAAATGTAGTGTAAATGATTCTTTACAAATCAAAATAAATTGCTAATCACAAACTATTAAAAAATAGCATATAACTAAGGGCAGAGAGTTGTTCTGGGAGCCCAGATATGTGGGACTCAGTCTATTTCTTTTTAAACTATCATATATCAAACAACTCCTGGCACTTGTGAACATTTTACCTCACGGAACATCATCAGATTTTCGAAGCTTCCAATGTACAGATGAAGGAAATGCCAAGAACTAATTTGTTTTCTTTGGCGAGTCATTATTTCAAATAAAAACAGAGTATTAAATTTGAGGTTGGCTCAAAACAATGGGAACTCATGTTTACCAAAGAATTCTAACACTTCAGTGAAGAACATAATTGTATTTATATATGTGATTGAAACCCTTTAATCCACCAAACACCAATGTTCTAGGCAGTTTGCAAACCACAGAATTAAGATTAGCCTGTTTAACAGTCTTGTCATCATTTAAAAGGAAAGTCACCTTGATACACCTGAAAGAAAGAATGAAATGCATTTAAGGAAATAGAGACAAGAAGAAGATCCTGTGGATTTGTCTATATGTTGATTTATATGCTGATTCATTAGGCAAAGAATTTGAGTCAGTGATGGCTGTTTTAATCATTAACGCCCTTCCTGCCGGTCAATTCTGAACAGACCTGGGGAAACATAAGAACTTAATTTCGAACCTAATTTTACAAAGCAAAAGACGAGATGGAAAAATGGAAAAAAAACTGAATTCAGATGATAACTACAAAAAAAAAATTCACAAACCCCAGGCCAAGTTCAGAGGGAAAAGATAATATTAAAACTTGTCCTCCCTCATTCTTTGCACGTAAGGCTCTTTCCCCAGGGGCTCTGAAATTTGTAAGTTCTACCAGATTTCTTTCACTTAGCTACTCTTCCTTTCTTTAAATTTTCTATTTTTCCAATGACCGTTTAAAAATGAAAAGAATTCTATTTCATAGTTTAAAAAAGGAGAGAAACCTGACTTATCCCCACATCTCCAACATTTGTATACCCTTTTATCATTAGTATTTAGACTGCCTTCTTGTTTTCATCATTTGGGAAAAAGATGAGGCAAGATGACCAACATATTATGTTTGGGACATTTTTTTTTACCACCTTATAAGGGCATTGTGGCAATTATTCCATTAAAATGCTTGCAAAACACGGGCTGGGATGTAGCTCACTGGTAAAATGCCTGCCTCATAGGCATGCACAAAGCCCTGGGTTCAATTCCCTGTTCCAAAAAGGAAAAGACAAAAAAAAAAAAATGCTTGTAAAACACCTTATACACCCTGAAGAGATGCCACCAGGCATCTCACATAAATGTGAGAAGTAGCATCATGCTAGTGTGAAAACACTGCAGGTGTAAAGTAAAACCTGATAACCTACAGGGCTACATAAAGGAAATCCTCATCTAATTTAATAATGCATCCCAATAAAAGCAGTTTAAGGAAAAATTAAGAGAAGCCAGGACATTGGAAACAAATGACTGAGTATATTAAAGCATGCACATAATTCAATGGAGACCAAGTAGACCAGGAAGAAAGTTTTAAATCAACACAAGTCAACTACATAAGTATAAAACTAAAGAGGTTAAGAAATATTTTTTTGGAAACAGCTATGCTTTTTAAAAAACAATCTTCTTAAAATGGTGGTAAAATATATACATAACAAAATTTACCATCTTTTTAAAAATATTTATTTTTTAGTTGTAGGTGGACATAATATCTTTATTTCATTTTTATGTGGTGCTGAGGTTTGAACCCAGTGCCTCACGTGTGCTAGGCAAGCATTCTACCCCTGAGCCACAACCCCAGCCCCCCAAAACTTACCATCTTAATCAGTTTTTAAGCACACAGTTCAGTGGTGGTACATACACTCACATTGTTTTGCAACTGATCTCCAGAACTCTTTTTACATGGCAAAACTAAAACTCTACATCTACTAAACAACAACATCTTAACCCCCATTCACCATTCTGCTCTTTCTACGAATTTAACTGCTCTGGGAATCTCATGTAAGTGGAATCATACAGTATTTGTTCTTTTTTTTTTTTTTTTTTTTTTTTTAAATAGTACCTATCTGTATTATTTAGGCCAGGCTGCTTTTTTTTTTATTTATTTATTTTTTAGTTCTCGGCGGACACAACATCTTTGTTGGTATGTGGTGCTGAGGATCGAACCCGGGCCGCACGCATGCCAGGCATGGCGCGATACCGCTTGAGCCACATCCCCAGCCCCTTTGTTGTTGTTTTTTGTTTTTTGTAGTGGGGGTTGAACCCAAGGCCTCAATACCACTGAGCTAAGGCTGGCCTCAAACTTGCCATCCTCCTGCCTCAGCCCCCCAAATTGTCGCAATTATAGGCATGAGCCACCCCACTTACCCAGGTTTTTAAAAGATACTTTTAAACCAGAGAAGCTACAAACTGAAATGAAAGGAAATTATCTATAGTAGTCAGGGACAGAACAACACAAAGCAGAAAGTGAACTGGGAGGGCCCTGGATTTCAGAACAGACACAGAGATCCCAACCATAAAATGAGTTATCAGAAGTATGTACAGGTCCTCTTAACTAAATGTCTTTTTAACAAAAGCAGAAAAACCTAAGCAAAGAGTAGATAAGGGAAACTTTGTGAACTGATTCCAGGAAAAATATGGATTATTAAAAGTGGGTTCAGTAATCCCAGCAGCTCAGGCAACCGAAGCAGAAGAATCACGAGTTCAAAGGCAGGCTCAGCAAAAGCGAGGCACTAAGCAACTCAGTGAGACCCTGTCTCTAAATAAAATACAAAATAGGGCTGGGGATGTGGCTTAATGGTCGAGTATCCCTGAGCTCAATCCCTGGTACCTGCCCCCCAAAATAATGAATTCAGATCTTCCTCTCTGGACATTTTTCTAACGAAAAGAAGAGAAATTGACCCCGTGTCTTTGCTTCTTAGGATCAGATAAAGAAGGAAATTGCTATCATTATGTCAGACTAGAGTTCAATCAAAAGGAAAAGCATACTTGGGGCAGCCCGCCAGCTCTTCGAGCCCCTACTAAATCAAGCTGTCTGGAAACTTGTCTGGTGGTTCTTAGACATTACTTACTTCAACACAGGTGTTCCTGAGATCCAACAATACTGGCCTGGAAGGCTATTGATTTAAGTTTTTAGTAACAGCAAAAACATATTCATTCAATATCAAAATACAAAAATTGCAAAAACCTAACTGCATAAACTTCAACAACCTCAAAAGCAGGCTGATTGAAATCATCAAAGGGAAGACTTAATTAAACCTGGAACTAACACCAAGGTTAGAGCCAATTTCTAACTTTTGACAACAAATCGAACAAAAAGTTCTATGTTGGAAAATTTTCGTTCTCATCATTTTAATTATGTGTGATAATCTGCAGGTGTTCCCTGCAATTGGGAAGTCATGTGGCAAATTTAATGAAATCATATTTTCAGAAAAGAATTACCAGTCATCTAAATCTCTGAAAGGTTAAAACTATAATTCTGGATTTTTTTTTTTTTGCTTTGCTCCACCTTTTTTTTTTTTTTTTCCAGTGTAGTAAATGCCCCAGGGCTCTGACCCAGCCTTAGAAAAACAGCCAGTAGAGTGGGTTCATGAAAAAGAAATTATCCAATTATGGATTAGCAAAACTGTAACAGTAATTCAGTGACATAGAAAAGGAACACCCTGAAAAAGTGTGTATATAAGAGCCGAAATCCATAGGCTCTTCCCTCCACCTCTCACATTCCCTGGGACGAGCTAAGCTTTGCAGGAACAACATGTCTTGCTCTTCTCGCATCTCCTCCTCCAGGGCTGGGAGCAGCAGGGTGTCCGCTGGTAGAAGCAGCGTCAGCAGTGGAAGCAGATGTGGTCTGGGGGGTGGCTCTGCCAGAGGCTTCCAAGGAGGAACTGGCAACTGTGGCCTGAGTGGGGGACCTAGCAGTGGCTTTGGAGGTGGCTTTGCAGGAGGCTTTGGGAGCTGCTCAGTAAGAGGTGGTCTGGGAGCAACCTTGGGCTCCGGAGGTTGCTTTGGTGGGGGCTCTGGATTCAGCAGCGGTGATAATAGAGGTTTCTACAGCCATGGAGGTGGTATGGGGGGTTGCCTGAGTGGTGGCGTTGGTGACGGGGGGCTTTTCTCTGGAGGTGAGAAGCAAACCATGCAGAACCTCAATGACCGCCTGGCCAATTACCTAGACAAGGTCAGAGCCCTGGAGGAGGCCAACACTGATCTGGAGAATAAAATCAAGGCGTGGTATGACAAATTTGGGCCTGGGTCTGGGAAAGATGGTTCTGGAAGAGATTATAGCAAATACTATTCAATAATTGAAGATCTCAGGAACCAGGTAAGATACTATCTGTGATAGGCTAAGTTTCTATGATGTATCTTTCACTTTTAGTCAGATCCTATACTGTAATGAAAATTCAAAGTCAATGAGTTATTTAAAAATATAATTGCTTGTTTTTTATGCAAAATGGTACATGGTATGTCTTAATGATGACAGCTCACTATGTGACATCTAACCGCATTAATTTTCTGATTGCATCTCAGATTTGAGTATTTCTCCATAAGGGTAAAATGTATATATCATGCCAGGCAGCTAACATGGATATATAAGACTGATTACAAAGAACCCATTAGTTGAATCTAATTACTTTATGGCTAATCCTAACAGATTAACACATTTTAGTGTCTTAGTAGACTTAAAAGAGTCCTTCCAACTATTTTTCTTCCTAGAAAATCTGGTACAAATACTGCAAAAGGAGGTAGTGAAACCAACAATGTTTAGCCATTGTTATAAGGGAAATATTTTTTAAAGGCATTTTTCTCTAAGTGAAATTCAACCTCTGTACTATGTTCTGAAAGAGCTCATGGAATAACTGATCTTCCAAACAGCGAAAATCCACAGAAGGGCTATGTTCTGTGCCTATTCCTATAAATGTGCAAATTGTTACCTTTTTTGCAGAAAGATATCATCCTAAATATACAGGTATCATTACTATGTAAGTTTGCAAATCCATTCCCCATCAAGAGCTAGTAACACAGAAAACACCTGCCTTCCCAGGCAGGCCTACAGACACAAGGCAAAAATCATGAGTGAACCATTCATTATTATCATCTTTTTCTAGATCATTACGGCCACTGTTGAAAATGCTAGAACCATTTTGCAGATTGACAACGCCAGACTGGCTGCTGACGACTTCAGACTGAAGTAAGACACATCAGACTTGAAAACAAGTGTGACAGGAAAAAATAAAATCCAATCCATTTGCTTAAAAATTTTTCTTAATATCTTTCTGGGGATCATGACCTAAATTCAATTCACAAACATCCCAAGGGTAAACTTAGAAACCATCATTCCAGGAAAAATAAAATAAAATAGGAGACAAGTTAGGGATATCAGGATTTCATCATAAAATTATTAGACATGATTAGGGCTAACATCAGACTTCTGTTTTTCCTTATGGGGGAAAATCATCAGAGAAAACTTAGTAACCTTCATTTATCAAAATGCGTAGAGGTGAGAACTTGCTCAATCTGTAGGAAATGCAGGGGATTCTTTGAAAGCTGTTGGGCCAGCTCACTGCTACCTTCTTGCTGCCCCTTTCAGGTATGAAAACGAGCTGTGTCTCCGGCAGAGCGTGGAGGCCGACATCAGTGGCCTGCGGAAAGTCCTGGATGACCTGACCATGACCCGCTCTGACCTGGAGATGCAGATTGAGAGTCTCACTGAGGAGCTGACCTATCTGAAGAAGAGTCACGAGGAGGTTGGGACCAGCTCCACAGGAGTGAAAACCCTGACTTCCATATTTTCCCCCACATCTGTTTTATAAGGATAAACTCAATGAATTTCCCACATCTAAAGACCAGAAAAAGAGTAATAATAAGCATAGTATATCTGAACTTGATCCCCCCCCCCAGGTGTCCTAGTTTCAAATTTGCACTAGCTCTGCCCATTTTAGGAAGTTGTTGCTTTCCTATTAGCATCACGGTGATCTTTTCTCCTGGGTGTTAGGAAATGAAGAGTATGCAAGGAAGTTCTGGAGGGGATGTGACTGTGCAAATGAATGCTGCCCCAGGAACCGACCTGACCAAATTATTGAATGACATGAGGGCACAGTATGAGGAGCTGGCTGAGCAGAACCGCCGGGAGGCAGAGGAACAGTTCAACAAGCAGGTATCTCCTCTCTGTGGGGCATCTTGAAGCCTGCAGCTACACACTTCTGCTCCTTTCATGGCCTAGAAGAAATGCATTTTATTTCTATTTAGAGTGCAGCCCTGCAAGCACAGATCTCTACTGATGCTGGGGCCGCCAGTTCTGCCAAGAATGAGATAACAGAACTGAAACGTACCCTGCAAGCCCTGGAAATTGAGCTTCAGTCCCAACTGGCCATGGTATGTGCAAACAGCTTTTCAAAATCTCCAACAGGGAGTTAAGCAAATGCACTTTTTTTTTTCTTTTTCAAGATGTTCACTAGTGACATGATAAAAGTAATGTTATGGAGAACTGTACCATGGTTCTAGAAAGCATAAAGCAGTTAATGTACTCTATTTCCATAAAATATTTAATCTGAAAAGATAATGCCAACAAAAATTTCAAAAAGCAATGATTAATCAATAGAGGTTGTTATTGAGTGAAAGCACACCTCTAGAACCATATAAAATTGTATATTTTTTAAATCATCCATTGACTTGTCTTCATCATGAATTTTTTTATTTGCTTTTTCTCGTAGAAAAGCTCCCTGGAAGGGACTCTGGCTGATACAGAAGCCAGCTACGTGGCTCGGTTGTCAGAAATTCAGGTGCAGATCAGCAGCCTGGAGGAGCAGATCTGCCAGATCCGGAGTGAGACCGAATGCCAGAACACAGAATACGAGCAATTGCTGGACATCAAGTCCCGCCTGGAGATGGAGATCGAGACCTACCGCAGCCTGCTCGATGGAGAAGGAGGGTAAACGAAAGTCAGAAATGGGCCAAAATGCAAACAGTGCCTTTTTTTTTTTTTTTACGAAGCTGAAAAGAGACACTGAGGTTGGAATTGTAGTTTCGAAGTAATAAAGTCACAGACACGGTACAATCAAAAGATATCCAGGGGCTGGGGATATAGCTCAGTTGGTAGAGTGCTTGCCTCCTGTGCACAAGGCCCTGGGTTCAATCCCCAGCACCACCAAAAAAAAAAAAAAAAAAAAGCACTAGGAATGTGGCTCAGTGGTTAAGTACCCCTGGGTTCAGTACCAAAAACCAAAACAGATATCCAAAGCTCCATCATGGAGAATCCCCAGTAGGGAGGGTTTTTTCCTACCTTTGCAAACTGCAAAGGAAAACACAATTCTTCTTTTCTCTAGAAACATAGGATCCAGGGATTTGGTATCGGGTGACTCAAGATCTGGAAGCTATTCTGGTCAAGGAAGAGGTAGACTTTTTCTTTTTTTTTTTTTAACATTGATGATAATTTTTGTAATTTTTAAATTTTACTTTTAAGTAAAAGCATGGTTTGCTTGTCATATTAAAATGCATACGATTATTTACATACTCCTACCCATAGAGAACAAACACACTTCGTGAATATAATTGAATTTCTCTGGGTTTGCGTTTCTGTGAGTTTCCAGACTGACCTTGTCATCCCATGATTTTTCAGATCCCAACAAGACGAGAGTCACTAAGACCATCATAGAAGAGGTGGTGGATGGCAAAGTCGTCTCATCTCAAGTCAGCAGTATCTCAGAGGTGAAAATAAAATGAGCGATTTCCAGGTCAACAAGAGTGTCTTTCAAAGAAAAAAAAAATCAAGAAAGACACAAGTGAAGAAATCACATCATTCTAAGTCAACCTTCTGAATATCTTCATGGAAACACTTCAGTCTAGAAATAGATGACTAGCCAATTTTTCTGCATCCTCTGATTTCTTTATTAGATTGCTCTTGAAAGTTGAAATGACAGCCCTGCTCTAATTGCTTCTAGGCTTCAATAAACTTACTCTTGCAAGTTAACAAAATCGTTGCTGAATGTTTTTTCTTTTCTTTTTTTTTTTCTATTTTATTTTACATTTTACACTTGCTAGGTAAGTCTAACACTGAACTATGCCCAGGCTCTCTTACTGAATTTTTTAAGAAAACCAATATCTTACTTAGAAATGAGCCTCTCAATTGTGATCTAGCTGCATCATTATGTTACTAGTATTAATTCATTATCGTGTTCCTTCTTCATAAAATTAGTATTATAGCCATCTTGTATGTAGGCATTTTTGACATTGCACAAGAATTGAGTGACACTGTATATTAAATTAGACCTCAGTGTCCCTAACACTGTAGTCACCAACTCAGCACACAAAAAAGGATGAGATCATTTGAACAATCAACTTATCAACAGTTAACGCCCTATTTTTTGTATGTCCATCAGGAAAATGGGGCATTTCATAAGGAAAAAAAGAAAGAAAGAAAGAAACATCAGTTATGCCTCCTACTGTGGGAAGCTTGTGCTGTAGGTGGGGAGGAAAGTCGAAACACAAAGAAGATAATAGGAATCAAGAGGAGTGAATAGGAAAGGACTTGATTTCACAATATTCATCAGAAATGCCACAGGAATCAGACATGTGTTTGTAAGATGTTTTGGAGACAAGCCAAATAAAGAGCCTTGGGAAAAAAGGTTAGATTATGACATGGTACCAGGTTTCTTTTTTATACATATATTTTTAGTTGTTGATGAACCTTTATTTATCTATTTATATGCGGTGCTGAGAATCAAACCCAGTGCCTCACACATGCTACGCAAGCATTCTACCACTACTCAAAAAATGCAATGCTGTCTTAAATCAAACATGTTTCTCATCAAATCATTACAGTAAATGAAACCCTGAATATTTCTCTTCACTGGAAAATTTAAGAATACATAATGAAGAATATGGACCAGCTGATACAACTTGGATGTTTCCAGAAATGGAAACCTGTTCTATGTAGCCTCCAGTCCCTAGGGCCTTCACAGCTACACCAAGGAAGCCTGTCTCCATGGGTCTTCCCAGATCTAGTCTTCTAGCTGTGGACTCTGCTTGCCTGGGACCTGTATTCATGGCCAATAGTGTCCTCATATCAGGGCCACAGTATGAGGCAACTCTAAAAATCATCTGGAGGTGAGAAGCCTCACTCTGTTTCCTTGGCCCGTGTTAAGATGCTGCATTTGTACTAAAGGACTGTTCAGAAACAGAAACATTCAGTTCATTTGTAGGTTCCAAGGTACAGAGACACAATAGAAGCTGTTGCCAAGAGCATCCTTGATTTTTAATACCAACACTATGGAACCATTTTGGATCCTGAAGTGTATTTGGAGTACGGAATAAAAGGTTAAGAACAGAGCATTTATTATTACCTGTCCTAAAATTATTTCAGAACGAAGTAAGAAGAAAACGTCTATGTTGAAACTTCATTGTCCAGCTCGCCGGTCAACTTTTAAGCACACGTTTCTTCTGAGTGGACATACACATGGAAAGGAAGAGCCAGTGTCTACATGTCTATGAATTTTCCAGAGACTCATAGGGTTGCTCTTGTCTTTTTGACCTCAAGGGACAATGGACAAGAAGGGTGAGAATTCTAGAAGTGGCATCTGTCATCACAGATTAGAAACAAGATGTATAGCAGGCAGCACAAAGGAAACAACCAAAGGATTCAAAGCTCTAAGGAAAGAAGTCCAAACTTGCCTAATGACTTCATGGAATTAAACAGCGTTCAGACAAGAAGAGGCAAAGGGATGGATATAAATCACCCAAAATGTAGCTCAAGTAATATATCCAAGCAACCTCCCCAAGTAAAAAAACACTCAGAGTAAGAAGTCACTTTTAAAAATGATAGTGGCTCAGATATGACACGTGCGTAACAGAATAGATTGATCCAACCATTTTAAAAGCAACTTAATCATTCATAATATTTATGTCTACATGAAATGATTGGGTGGAAAGAAGCAAACACTGGAATAACACTTCAGCCACTTTTTAAAAAAACATTAGTACATAAATGGCAAGAAAGGACAAACCCAGGGTGCATCCCATAACTGTCATGCGTACAAAACTTAGACTCCTATACAGAAGGAGAGAAGAGGTGTTTGTTTTGCTGTTCTTTTACAAAGAACATGAAAGCTTAGGGATGCTCCCAACAAAACTGCAGCTGGACATGCAGTGTGTGGCTCAAATTTGCCTCTTAATGACAAGTCGGGTTGGGCAATATGTCCCCCAAAGCTTCATGTGTTGGAAGGTTGGTACTCAGTGTGACAATGTGGGGAGGTAGGATCTTTAAGAAGTGGGGCCTAATGGGAGGTCTTTAAGTCAGTTGGGGGGATGCCTTTGGAAGGGACTGTGGGACACCAGTTTCTCTCTGACTTCCAATTTTCAAAGCAGTCTCTCCTCCTACCTTCACCCCCGCCATTGCTATCTGCTACAAGGAACTGCAGCCAAAGAAGAGTCTCATCAGAACTGATATCATGCTTTTGACTTCCAGCAGCCAAAAGTTTGAACTTAATAGACCTCTGTTCTCTAGGAAGTTTTCCTGCTTCAGGTTTTTCATTATAACTAATAAAAATAGACTGTTATAGGTGGATCCAAGTGATCCAAAAAGGAGGAAAGCAAATTATACGAATAAAAGCAATATTGCCATAGCTACTAGAAGGGGGCGAAGATTACAAAAATGTATTGTTCACTATCCTATAAATGTACACCTATAAAATGCAATTAAAAGGTTACACTGACTTCTGAATAAATTGGTCAAGAAATCATTCACAACTTTTAGGCAAACTTCTTTATCCTTCTCAAAATGGATGCAAGAACTACTCAGAAGTTCCAGAGTAGGGAAGAGCTGAGGCTCAGTTCAGAAACACAGGTTGGTTGTCAGCTCATGGGGACAATTAGCCAGTTCAACAACAGATTCTTTCTTCTAAACTACCCACCCCAAAACTTGTCCAACATTCCAGAAACAGTTTTCTAGAATGGGTAACAATCAAAGATAAGTTGTAGATCTATAATATGGAGTATTCTAGAGAAATTAAAAGATCAAGGCCACTCAGTTTGGGAAGCTAGTAAATACTTGTCACAATTGTGGGGAGACGAATTTCCTCAGTAACCAATCATTTTTCATACCAAGACCTGTTTGATTCCTTAAAGACCCCGATCCAGACATCTAGTATATGTGAAAAAGTGTTTATTGTGGTGTTTTCTAAAAGAGAGAATACATGACAACAGCCTGAATATTCATCAATAAGGAAATGATTGAATAAACTATGTGCATCCAGACACCAGGATGTAATGCAATTTTAAAAATAAACCTGACCAATGTGATTCTGCATTATGTACAACCAGAAGAATGAAAAGTTATACTCCATTTATGTATGATGTGTCAAAGTGCATTCTCTCATATTCTACTGTCATGTATAACTAATTAGAGCACATTTTAAAAATCTGTGCTTATTAACTTGATAATATATCCACTCTATTTTGTTACATGAAAAAAGCAAAATACAGAGTTATCACATTGTTTAAACAAACATACTAAAAGGAGAGAGGAGAAGCCCAAATGTTTTTGTATGTGTTTGTATGAACATAGAAAAACGTGCCCATGTCCAAAAGTTAACAGTGATGACCTGGTGAGCTGGTAAGGAACTGGTGAGCAGCAGAAGAAGATTGCTCACTTTTTTTTTTTTGATCATCTTTCAATTGCTTGCCCTGGTCCAAGGAGTAGAGGTTACCTTTGTATTTAAAAACAAATTAGAAAACGTATAGCTGTATATGGTTCCACTTGTGATATAAAAGCATCACAATAAATGAATAAGTCTTTAATAAGTCTGAAAACTTTTTGAGAAAAACAAAGGAGGAGAAGGATAAAAATTAGAAGGGGGAAAGAAATTTACATTTCATGAGCACTTACTAGGTATATAAATACTTGGTTTACTTTATTTCACTTAATCACAAACCCTAGTTAGGTATTACTGTTCCTTTTTACAGAGGAAGAAAATGGAGCTTAGAGAGGTTAAACCATTTTTTCCATGTCACACAGCAAGTGAGGGACAACATTAGAATATGAAGCCCAGTCTTCCCAATTCCACAGCTGTGTTCTTTCTACTCTACCAAAATCAATGAATTCTACAGTGTCACATCCTAAATTCACATAGTGACCCGCTCTATGAAAGTTACCTCCAAAGTTTCCATTTTTCCAAAGCTGCTTCTCCACAACCTGAAGTCAAGAGGCAAGCTTCAGGATTTCTAAAACAGTTTTTCTGTCAACATGGAGAGGAGAAAGCTGCTGAAGTCAGAGAACAGAAGAGCTAACAAGAACAACCTAAGTGCCAGGTGCAGTGGTGCACACCTGTAATCCCAGCGGCTCAGGAGGCTGAGGCAGGAGGATCGAGAGTTCAAAGCCAGCCTCAGCAAAAGTGAGGAACTAAGCAACTCAGTGAGACCCTGTCTCTAAATAAAATATAAAATAGGGCTGGAAATGTGGCTCAGTGGTCGAGTGCTTCTGAATTCAATCCCCAGTATCCACCCCCAACAAAAAAAAAAAAAAAAAAAAAAAAAAAAAAAAAAAAAAACCTAAACATAAGCTCAGGATAGACCAGCTTTCTAAGTAGGACAGGAGCATCTTCAGAACTTCACAATGGCAGCCCAGGTGCGGCTGAGGCAGAGGGACAGAGTTTACAGAAAACTAGATTTTTATGAGAAAAAAAAAAAAGTGCATATCATACGCAATCTAAGCAAAAACCATTCTAAAA